TATCACTACTACTTCACGTTTGGAAATGCAGTGAAAAGAACCTATTGCGATTGCCCAGGGGCAGCATTCCTTTTACGTATGTTGATGTAAGGTTGACCTGTTGCGATCTGTGACCCTGTTTTAGCAGTTACGCCCTGAATCTATGAGGGAATCGATGCAACTCCAGACGTTTTGTCATCAATCCACGATATCAGATTGCAACAATGAGGAAGATAGGAGGTTCTGTAAAGATATAAAAGAACACCGCTTTATGACTCCTATCCATATACTGTGGAAATAGGAATCATTTCTCTGCCACAAGAAGAACGAACTCAAGAGCCGGTCGTCACCAGCGTTTGGACAACAGAAAGATGGTGAGCACATTAGATGGTACTTAAATACACGAATTGACTTGAAGTTAGCTTCACTTTTTTCATGCATACGCATGCTTGATATCCAGCCGTTTTGATAGTAGCTCAAACTGTGAAAAAGAAGCTTAGACGATGCAGCTGGACTTGTGAGAAGGGATGGGGCTCTCCTTTAAAGACTTACTTATACAGCGTGAAAATGATGGATTTCTAACGAATGCTTTTTTCTTTTATCATCAGGAGTGGAAGGTGTACCTCCTTTTCTTTGCCTTGTTCGTGGCTGCCACATCTGCAGCGCCCGCTTGTAAATGCCAAGATGAAGATAAGGTAAAAGTGAAAATACTCGCTATCATATATCAATCTGCAGCTTAGCAGTCTTTCATCGTCAGTTTATTTTTAGCCATCAGTCTTTAACTGTGATAAAGGTTTCCGGAGACTTAGTTGTTCCCGCACAATCCTGAAAGAATTTTTCTATGCAGTCCAAAGCTGAAATTTGTGCCGATACTGAGCCGTTAAACGCGTTCAGACCATTTCCTTTAATTAATTTGTAGAAACGTCAGGTTCGCTGTTTAAGTCCATGTGAGTGAGACCAGAACAATAGCAACATAAACGTAAATATTATGTAATCTTTTGTTCCACAGGAAACTTTGTCCAAGTACAAAGTTAAAGCCAAAGATGGTGACGAAGAGTATGAACAAGAAATCAAAATCGACACCGAGAAACAGACGGAAACTTATCACATTCCAAAAACGAAATCTTCTAGCGCAGGAGAAGTGGACGAAGTCTATGACTTTAAAAGAGTAAATAAATTAGCATAGCAAAGTAAATAAGCATAGTAAAGGCAGCACTCCTCTCCATTCTCCTCGGTTATTTTTAAGACGCTGACCTTGACCTTGACCTCCCACACGGCAGTACGGCGCTCTACAATTAGAAAGAGATAACCAAGAGCGGTTTGAAAGTTAAGATTTTTAAATGGATATTTTACTATTTAAAATTCATAGCTACTGTTTACTCTTTACTTGCTGATGTTTTTCGTACAGAACTTGGTTATGCGCCGAATGCCTGAACACAAAGCTTGTTTCTTGAGTGAATCCACTGAAAACGCTCCAAAGCCTCAAGACCTCAAAAATGCACTTGACAAGGTAACTTTCCTTTCTTTGTTCGCGAGTAACGATCGATTCGCTAACTTTACATTGAAGTTCACGATGAAGCCATCGTCTTTTGATGCATTTCTGTTTCCTTGAAATTATCGTTTACAGTAAAGTGTCAGTTTTATTGATGGTAGGGGTTCAGAAGGCAATTTCCTTGGCTTTTCTCAAATTAAATGTCATAACTGACACATATATGGTCGAAAGGACTATCGACCTTCTTCCGGCTTAGGCTAATCAATAAGCTCTAATATAAAAATGACGTCTTTTCATATTGTCATATCCCGGTTTTTGACTTCTTGTAGTGCTCGTGGAAAATGAATCGGTCATCAAAACAACTGAGGGCTTCGAACATGATCTTAACTCCATTATCACCTAAAATCTTAAGCAAGATCATGATTATGGAATGAGTAAAATTGAAATATAAATTTGATGGCAAGCAACTCATTTCTTTTCTGAATCGCTTTTTCAGCGAAGTGCTTCAGGTTCCTCACAATCTGTTAACACTACTGAAGACGATTATGAGGTTGTTGGTACTGTGAATGATCGTTCCACTCTGAGTGATGAAATGGCTGCAATGTGTGCCAAATTTCCCATTTATCGCATCAAGAGGAGGAAGGTCACTATGAGTGTGGAAAAAGAAAACATCCAAGGTATTTGTGTGCTTTTGTGTAGAGTTCTTTTTAATCGCTTGTAAGTGGGACCGCTGAGGAGTTAATTCCCAAAGAGTTAATTATAAGTCGTAAAAAGTTATCACTCTCATTTTCCAGGTGGTAAAGACAGGGTTAAGAGAGACCTCTGCATCTACTGCTATTGGTATATCCAACGTTACGTAATAAAACGAACATCTAATGGTTACTATTATTGCCCGGTTAGGCGTTGGGTATGCGTTTACGTATCTTGCAGCCGCTGAACGAAGGCCAATAGTCGTTTAATGAGACAACCTCCTGATCCAAAAACCTCAGCCAAGAAATGAAAATATATGCGTTTTTTTTCTAATTACATATTGATTTCATGTTACAAAATGTGCTTAAAATCGCAGCTAGCAAAAAAAACCTTACTAATTTACTTATATTTAGGTTTTTTTTTTTAACATTTTAACATTTGTTTGTAGAGTTCACGTGTTTGCAAAATCAATAAAGAATCAGATGAATCAAGTAATTCAAATCTCTGGTGTGTTTTGTGATTCAGAGTTTAGACATCCCCACATAAAACTGACAACTGACTGACCATTTAACTCCTAAGAGTGATTAGCATCTAATTTCTCCTTACATCATCAAGCTTGAATCACACGTTAGGGTCATGAGAATAAAAGAAATGATCACCAACTGAGGGAGTTCTTGATTGTGACACAAATTCTGCTTGTGTATTGAACAGTGTGGA